TTTCTTTCTCATTTTTTTTCAAACTTTCGACAGAGTTTCCGAATTTTTCAAATACCTATCTTTCAATTTTGTTTTTATTTTTTCTTTCCCTATTCTAGAAAACGGTTAACATGCAAGCCGAAACAAACATATGCACAAGTAGCAGGTAAAAATGCATCAGGATGGTCTTTTATATTGGGTACACCTGTCCTAGACGGACCCAGCCCTTGTGTTGAGTTCCCAAAGTCAAATGCACGTGATGCAAATAAATATTCCTACTAGGGAACCAACATGAGGCTATGTTATTCTAGGTTTAAATCTTGGGTGTGTTGTTCTAGACCTGGATTACCCGAGCGGACAACTCGAGCCGAGGGGGGGCAGCGTATCGGGAATACAGAAGCTTCACCGGCTTTACAACTTGTCCGATCCTAGTTCTAAAATTAGGGGTATGACTCTAACAGAAAAGAAGCCACACGAAGCGCATGCTTCCCAAAAGATTTAGAAAACTCAAAGAGAAGAAGGGTGTTGTAATAATTTTATATACAATTCACGGCAATATCAAAGCGGTAAAAAGCGACATTTAGCACATTAGGCTCAAACACGTAAAAATCAGATAATAAACAAAAGCCAAGCATAACAGTTATTCTAAGCTCGAATTCTGAACCCTGAACCAGAGATTCTGGGTACTTGTCCCCAGCAGAGTCGCCAGAGCTGTCACACCTCCTTTTTCCCGGGGGATAGGGGAGTTGGGATAGGGAAATTTTTCCAATTTAAGTAACATTATTCGAAATTAGATTATTTATTTAATCAGAGTCGCCACTTGGAATATTTGTTATGGTGTCCCAAGTCACTGGTTTATTTTAAATCCCAAATCGAGGAAATTTGACTCTATTTTTGGTCTGCAAACATAGAAGACCGGGTAAGGAATTCTGTTAACCCGGGAGAAGGTGTTAGGCATTCCCGAGTTTCGTGGTTTTAGCACGGTCGCTTAACAATTAATAATTGGCCTAATTATCTGACTTATTACATGTTTTAAACCTATTGTGCATTTTACCTTTTGATAATTTTTACTTATTTGCTTAACCGCTTTTAGTATTTATGGAATTTATTTGAACAAGCTACGATGTCGTACACTTGTCGTTTTGGTACACATTGCAAACCACGTCACGTGAAACACACCCGCGATTTACAACATGTTTATATTTATTATTATTTGAAGTTATGGTCAAGTCGCGTGAAACGCACACTTGAATTGGGGTTTACATATCATGACTATGCCACGGGAACCGTACCCACAGTCACGATGATTTATTATTAATCGCGCCTAAAACAAGCTACGATGTTCGAATATTATTCAATTACTAATTTTGACATTATTGTAAGGTCATGAGGTATGGATATTGTTATGGAGGAAATGAAGTAAATTAATTATGAAAAAATTGGCTAGCTTGTGAACAGAGGCAGATCCATGATTCGAAGGTTGCGGATGCTACCATATTATGCATACAGTATACATGTCAGTAGCTACAAAGACATATTAGGAATAATGGGTCGGTTCGGTTAGTTTTTGGTTAATTTGAATAGGCCTTTCATTCACAAAGCAAATAAATTTGATTTTAGTTCAAATTTTTAACGCTTAATTTAAATACATTCTAAATAAAAATGCAAAAGAAAAATAACATTTCATGAAAGAGCGCCTCCAATATAAAGTTTTACTTAAAGGGTACCTTAACTACACTATATTCTTTGTTTGACTAGATTAATTTACTTGTATTGTTCTTTGTTTATTTTTCCATCTTAATTGTTGAGTTATATGACAATTATTTGCAAAGAAAAACTTTCAACATTCAACCTATGATAGTCAACTCAAAACGACTATCAATCAAGCCATTTAATTCTTTTTCAAAACCCAATAGAAGATATTGCTCAAATTATATTCCAATATATAAATTAATATCGTTTCATTAAAAATAAAAAAAATTATACTCTAATTAAAATCAATTAAAATTACTATAGAAAATAATTGTTTATAAAGTAATGTATAATGATAGAAATAAAATGAGGACTGAAAGTTTAAAAAATGAAGAAGAGAGACTTAACAAGTAGTAAAAGGAGGGAAAGAACCGAAAAAGAAGGAAAAGATATGAGGCCCTAGGTTTCAACTAAAAATAAAAGAAATCTTAATAAGTAGAAAAAAGGAAAAATCAAAGGAGCTGCTCCAACAGGGAATCGAACTTGCATTCTTGAGGCCAAGAAAAGCCTTCAAAGGGAAGGCTAAACCAATAGCACCCACTTTCGCTTTGTGACTTTTGGGTGCCATTCTATCTATTTATACGTTTTTTCACAGAGATATTATGTACATGGCAGAAATTTTAGCGAAGCGAGCGGGTGCCGTGGTACCCCTAACTTGCAACGTAGATCCGCCCCTGCTTGTGAATGTTTATTTGTTTTTGGTCATGTGCAACAATTAGCCCATAAATACGCTAGGGAAGTCCAATTAAAGTCTTACACCAATCATGGCCCAACCTAATCTCTTATAATTTTACTGCTAACCAATATTTGAAACTAGACTAAATTTATGGCAGGAATAGATAGATATGGGCAGAACCAATTTAGTCACTAAGATAGGAGATCAAAATGAAACTAAAGCATGCTAAAATGGAAAGCCATTACTTCATTGAATAGACAAGAAAAGTAACGAATTAATACATATTCATCAATAAAATTAACCATATGAACTACCAAAAAGGACAATAAATTAATCTTAACAAATACTCAAACATGAGAACAAATTAATCTTAGCACACTCAAATGCGAACTCGACCATATCATACTCAAAGTTAAATTAAAACAGAGTGACCCAAAACATTAATGAGAAAACAAAATAGAAAGAGGAGTGAACCTTTGTATTGATGATTGTGGATTTAAATTACAACTACTCAATGATCGGATATCTCTCAACTGGACCATTCGGACCAAGAAAAATTCGAGCGAAAAATCTCAACTTGCAACCTCAATCGACCTTGCAAAACTGACGATTTAGTGGCTATTTTTTGAGCTATTTTTTTTTTTGGGTTAATGATGGCTCAAAAGTGGTCAAGGGCTGGTAGCTTTGGGGTGGTGAAGCTGTTAGTTTTTGTTTTCGAAAGAAAGACGAAGAAAAAATAACACGAATAGAATTTTTCTTAGCGTAGAACAAGCAAAAACATTTCTCTCCAAATCTCTCCACACTTTTTCCCTTTCTCCTCCATTTATAGAAAAAATTTCGGAATTTTCAGAATTTATTTATTTATTTATGTTTTTATTTTTAATTAAAAAGAATTTTCACTTCCCATTTTTCTTATTTTTTTTAAAAAATAATTCCCCACTTTCCTTTACTTTTATTTTTTAATTTCTTACTTTTTTTACTTTTATTATAATTAAATTCTCACTTTTATACTTTTCTTTATTTTTCACTTATTTTACTTTTTTTTTTATTTCTCACTTATTTTACTTTTCTTTTCTTTTTTTAATTTCTACTTTATTTTATTTTATTTTTTTAAATTTTCAGCTACCATTACTTTTATTTTTTAATTCCAACTTTCTTTTACTTTTTATTTTTTAAATTTCCACATTCTTTTACTTTTATTTTTTTAAATTTTTCACTTTCTATTACTTTTTTTTATTAAACAATTTCCACCTACTTTTACTTTTACTTTTTAATTTTATATTTCTATTTTTTCTATTTTTTAATTCCCATCCGAAATTTATTTTAAAATTAATTAAAACTTTTAATTAATTCATATTTATTTTCNATATATATAACAAAGCTAAAAAATATATATTAAATTTTTGAAAATATTTACATAGTAAAAGGTAATAAAAATTTAAATATAGTCAAAAATTAAGTGCTCACATCATTGATACATAGAAAATTACTATAGAGTTTTATGCCAAAAACAATACTGCATCTTTATTTTGTTTGTATAATCTTTGGATAATTTTTGACATAAATGAATGCCTAGAGGTAGCTAAAGGTTAGAGTTTTTCCCAATTGGTTTCTGGTGTTCGATGTTATTAAGTATTTTGTATATTATCACTTATTCAAGATCGAGTGCAAAACACATGGTAGTTAATTATGATAAAAAAACTAATAAGTGTAGTTAAATAAAGTGACACGTGTTATTTATTTATATTGGTCGTAATAAGTTTTAACCAAAAAAGTAGCATATGAGAATGTTAACGTAGAGGGTGTTTGGCTAGGCTTATAAGCTAGTCAAACTGACTTATAAACACCTTTTGTCTTATCTACGCGTTTGGTAAACACTCAAAGTGTTTATAAGCCAAGTGCTTATAAGCTAAAATCAACCATAAGTTATAAGCTGGTCACCCCCAACTTATGACTTTTCAGCTTATAAGCACTTTTAGTTTGACAAACACTTTTACTAGTTACCCTTAATAATATTTTCTAGTTACACTTTTGACAAAACCATATTCGTTATTAATTCTTTTTGTTTACAAAGAAATTTTTAATTTATAATTTTTTGAAAAAAAATCAAGGGTATTTTAGTCATTTTAACAAAAGAATAGCTTATCAGCACTTTTTAATCAAACACATCAACTGGTTATTATCAGTTTCAACACTTCTATCCAAACACGTAAATGCTTATTTTAAAAATCAATTTCAGCACATAAAAAAACTTTTCAGCACTACAAGCTTATCAGCTATTTACAATCAGCTAATCCAAACGGGCTCATATTCTCTATGTTTAATTTTATTATATGTCACTTTTAACCCAAAAAAGTTGTACGTCAATAGCTTTTTTTAGAGTGGTTCAGAAGATGAAACATTTCTTTTTAAAAAATTTAAAATTTTTATTTTACTTTTAATAATATACTATTATAATAAAAAATTATCATGTTTAAGACCACAAAGGGTAAACTAATTTTAGTACGCCTCAAAAGTCAATCTTTTCTTTTACATTTAATGCCCGGTTAACCATGTGTATATAAAATGTAGCAGGGAGGAAAATGGAACAAACAAAGCAATAAAACTATAAGCTACGTCGTTTCATAGACCTTACATTCCCACTCTAAGCCCTTGTCCAGTTGAAGCCTACATCCCGAGCTAATTTCATTATCTTTCTCTCTTCGATCTCAGAACAAACAAAGCCATGGCTACTTCGTTGACAATGGCGGCTCGTCGAGTGGCGGCCTTCACTCGCTTCCCCTCCTCAGCCACTCCTTCTCTCGTTCAGCGCCGTGGCCTTGCCGGCGCAGCTGGTAATGATTTTCTCTTATTCTCTCTTTCTTAATTTTTTTGATCGATTTAATCAGATGCGTAACATTTCTGGACCGATTCATTTCCATTAATTGTTGATCCATGAATATACAATCATTTGATTTATTCTTATAGCTCTATTTGTTTTTTAATTTATTGATGGTATTGAAATGTGAATAATTCTAACAGATCATCACGGGCCTCCTAAGGTCAATTGCTGGTCAGAGCCGAAGAATCCTGCCCAATGGAAGGAAGAACATGTTAGTTCTCTTACTATAAAATCCACGATAGGAATGAAGCTTTGTTTCTTAGAGTACATTTCTGTGAAAGTTTAATTGTTTTTTCTTTTTCCATATTTTTGATAAATGTAATAGAATAATTTTCTTTGGTAAAAACTTATGTGCACACTCTCTTTACACCAAATCAAGCAATTTAACCTCAGCAACTAAGCATTAAAGAGAAAATACATATCACTTAACAATGATTAAGTCATAAATGTGTGTATAAAAGACACATGTTTGTCATTTATTGGCTTGACGTAACCACTATATGCGGGTGAGTTTTTACCATTTTCTTGCATTGATTGCTCAAAACAAATAAATTTTTGGCTTCAATGAATTAAAGCTTGTGCTTGTTTGGCAATTGCAACTCGGAATATGACGGATTCAAACTTATTATCCAAAAAAGTTATTATATGATGACACATATTCTGTAAAAAATGCTAAACAATAATATATGTTCAGTTCTTCTTGTAATAATCCTACAAAATGAAACTTATAATGTGAAAGAGTTTAAATTCTATGCACTAACGGTGTAAAAAATATTTACAAAATTATTTATATAATCAGATCACTCAAAGGCTATTTAATAACACTGATTGGTAATCTAATATAAATGGTAAGTTCTAATAATAGATTAAATTACACTAATGGTGTGAAGAATGCATTACTCTTTCAGTATATAACTTATACTCTATTTAATTTGAAGAGTAGAGAGTATCAGTGGAAGTGTATATAATATAGTGGGATTTCTAAAATAACAAAGTGTTACATGAAACGGGACGGAGTACTAAAGACAACGAAACTGGAATTTTAACTGTGGAAAGACTAGGTATGGTAGTATATGTAAATATTTAGATTTTTAAAATCTGTTCACTATGCACTCAAAATGGCTTTATCAAAGACTTTGATTAGGCACTACCAACAGAGTAGGTGTTACCCGGTAGCTGTGTCAATGGGCATAGCAATTACTTGATGGATAGTCAAGATGACACATCCATATCAAGGATGAATAGGTACTAAAAGAGTCTATGGGAACAGACCCACTAACTACTAGAAAATTTTTCCAGAACCCTTAATCTCACTTACAGTAGTCACAAAGAGAAAACAGGATAACAGAAGTACATATAGCTCATTATTGGAGTTTAAGCAATGCTGAGGCTATGTTTTTTAACATAGGTATAGTTTTGCCGAAATAATGAAATCAAAAAATGGATTTTTCTTTAAGAATGATATTCTGTTTTCCTTAGTGCAACTGTACATATCCAATTTATCACTGTTGTTGATCATGATCCTGTTCGACCGTACTTTGACAAACCTAGTAAATTACACTTAGTTTTTATAAAGTTTGTATCACATATCCTATATATGCTACGAGAAAGTGTGCTTTTTCTAAATAACTAAAAAGTAATGTGAAGAAATTTGAAAGCAACGAAATAGAGAAATGTGTTAGAAGAGCTGGTGTTTGTTTTCCTTGACTAAACTAAACCTGGACCAATTTTGTTTCAAGTCTTTTTGGTATAAAATTAATATATGTTTAGCCCATTTTTGGACCCAATTTGATCCTATTTGGCTAAACTAGAGTCATAAAACAGGATCAACCTTATTCCTATTAAATCCGTATTTGGAAATTCACATTCTTAACCTTAGTAAGGTTATCTTTTAATGATTTTTTGGAATGTAAATGCAAAACTTGCAAATAATGTTTCTTTTGGTCTTTGCAGTTTGTGATTGTATCTTTGTCCGGTTGGGGCTTGCTTTTCTATAGTGGGTACAAATTATTCACTGGAGGCAAGAAGAACAAAGAAGAGGTACTTGTCTGTTCTGCTGAAAGTGCACATAGTGCTACCTTAAGATAAATTGATTCAGGAAACAGAGTCAATTATATCTGCTATAAGCAATGTTTTTCAATAGATTGCTCAATCTAGTTAGAGTGCACATAGTGCTGAAAGTGCACATATTGCTACCTTAAGATAAATTGATTCAGGAAACAGAAATTATATCTGCTATAAGCAATGTTTTTCAATAGATTGCTCAATCTAGTTAGAGTATCAATCAAATTAGGACGAGACTGAGAAGAGAGTGTCGACTAAATTCAATAGCCTGTTTAAAACTTTAAAAGGCTATCTGGAACAACTAACGAAAAAACATTAAATGGCTGTTTGCGAACCAAGTTTAGAATCCGGAAACTTTACCGTGGTGTATGTCTTCTTTGTTAAAAAACATGTACCAGCAGTCCGTGTATCTATAAGTTCCTAAAGAGATGCTTTGTGGTGTTCTTGATTAAAAATCAGTGAACGTGAAACTTGAAAACAGGGCACTTCATTATATTTCGCTCCCAGATGGTCGCTGGTGCAAAGAGAGAACACTATCACAACATCATGCCCAAATAGTTTTCTGCTAAAGTTTTCCTGGCCAAGTGTATAATCATGTAATAGGGCATATGTGTGGTCATTGCTATAAAGTTTAGTCTATCAGTTTTCATGCAATTTTCTTGGCACACAATTTTCATACATCAAGAATAGGTTTACCTAACTTTGCTTGAGCTTCGCAAAGCATTGCCGGGTTCAAGCTCGGATAAATTAGGAGGATCACAAAAGCTTGATGGCCTGCTAAAAATGGTTCAGGTTTGATGAAATTTGAATATTGAGTGACTTGAATAAAGTCAATTGGATGCAAATATAGTCGGCCCCAACTAATTTGAGATTGAGGCACAGTTGAGTGATTGAAAACATAAGTTCCCGTATCAGTGAAGGGAGATAGAGAGTGTATCACCTTGGATATATGATTAGAAGGGCTAGACATAGTGAGAACACGAAAAATTTGTAAGCTTCCATTTTGTTTAGTAAATTTTATCAATTTTGAGTGCAGGGAGGAAGAAGTGAGGAAAGAATGGGAGGTCGCATTTTGGGGTTTTTATAGAGGTGTCAAAGCGCCAAAGTTTTTTATTCAAGCAGTTAGCTATATCAGGGTTGGAGTCTTGTGCCATTTGGTATTTTAAAGTTACAAACTTGCCTCCTTACTCTATGCAGTTCTATGGGTTCACCTATTCTGAATAATGGTTGATACTTATTGCTGTTTCATTTGCTCAAGAAATAGGCTAAATAATCCAAATGCATTTTCTTTGTTGGAAATATCGAACACATTTCCTTAGTATTTTTTGAAGAACATATTTTTGTTGAATAACATTGCTACAGATTATTTATGGTTATAGGAAATATAAGTGGAAATGGAACCAACTTGGTTAGGAGGGATTTCTTCATTTAGAAGAAAGAAAGAGGCTAGAGTATAGCGTTGATAAAACCTTTCTTCAGAAACAAATACTACATATTTACGTGTACCCTAACCTCGAAAGAGAAAAGTACTGCAAAGGTTTACACTTAAGGGAATTTTCATATTGATGATAGTTCATATAAGCAAATAAACTCAATTCTTGATACAGGAATAGAGCAAGAATTTCCAGCTATGTGATGGCAGATAGAAATAGATTCTATGTGAATTTTAAATTTTGGTGGAGTAAAGTTTCGTCAGTTGAAATAATGGCAGATTAATTCTGAAGGAACTATATTCTGATACGATAATTGCTTCTTTTTGAGTGCCCTTTACCTGCCCTGCAAACGAGCGTGACTTTTTCTCTGTTTGAGAGGAATGACATCCTATTTTATCTTTATTTATGCAGAATTTGGTGCAAGCATCACAATAAGGTGGGAATTTACGTGGCATCATGCTTAGATTGGGATATTTTCATGTCCTAAATTGAGAAGTTCTCTCTAATAATCCAATTTATTGGACATGACAATGATAACTTTAACTCTCATTGTATGAGCTTTCTTCTTATTATACAAACGACCAGATAGCTTCTAAGCTACTAAATGGTGGGCTAAAGTTGGTTGCATCAGCACTGTAATGCAGTTCTCTCTTTCTTATGCTAATGATAAATGGAACTGGTTTTTCTCCTTTTACTTTTCTTACTTCATTGTCATCTTGATCTGGAAATTGTGTACGCATTAATTGGAAGATCCCCTAACTATAATATCTAGAAGCTTTGCAGTTTCAGTAATGTTAACATATTTTCTCGTGGAGTATGCAAATTATCCTCACTGGGAGTTGAGTTAGTGAAAATGTCAAACAATAGAGTAAAACTAAATCACAGTGATCGAAGATTCATAAAGCATACTCAATTGCTTTACATTATACCAAACTAAAAACATAATGATCTAACATTGAAATTAAGCAAAGCATTTAGCGTTCTGTAAGGCAACTGTATACCTAAAATTCAGGCTCATCTGCTTGGTCGTTGTCTTCTTCCTCCTCTTCCAAATTGGCAGCAGAGCCTTTAGAATGGTCTAGATCTTCTATTTCCTTATCATTCTCAGGGTCAAGGTTGCCATCTTTTACAGCCCTTTCAGCATTTCTCGCATGTGCGGAAGAACTGTGAAAGCTGCTGGCCAGCCTGTGCTCTGTATCTCTAAAGACAACGGTGTTTTGCTCTTCTGATTGTGCATTTCTATTGGGTTTTTGATCTCTGGTCTCTCGTGAAATTCCTTTGGACTGGTCTAGCTGTCCTGTTTCTTGATCATTCTCAAACTGAAGGTCATCTGCTTTGACATCTCTTTCAGCAATATTTGCATGTTCCAGATAATTGTGAAGATTGTCAGCCTGTTTTTGTTCTTGATGTTTACTATTGATGCCTGTTGCATCTTGTGATTGTGCAGTTTCATCTGGTTTTCTATTTCTGGCCTCTTTTGAAACTCTGTTGACCTCAGAAACAGCTGTCTTCGCATGCACTTCCTGAGAGCTCTGGGCCATCTCAGATTCTGCGTCTTTGACTTCTTTTTCTTGCCCTTTCTCAATTTTCTCATTTGTGTTAGCTTTCCTGCCTTCTTGGCTACTTTCTTTGGCACCTGCAGATTTCTCAGGGTTAAGTAATGCGTTATGTGGTGGAGCTTCATCGAGGTTTGAGCTATCATCTTGCATTTGCTGTCTGCCCGTATCTGGTTTCTGTTCTTGTTCTGACCTGATTTGGTTTCCAAAAGTTTCCTCCAAATCGTTAATCCTTTGATTTTCTGGAGCAGATCCGTTATTCCTGTTTAGGTCCATATTTTGATCTTGCAGATGTTCCTGTTTCTCCTGTTTACCGCCTTCCATTCTCTCATTTGTTTCACCTCCATGCATTTCTTCAAAGAACTTTCTGTTTCTCATGCTTACAATGCTTCTCTTTTCAGGAAGCCCTCCACTTTCAGTGACCTTGCTATCTGCAATTATTCGCCGGCTCTTCCCTTTTGTCTTTCTTATGTTCTCCTGGCTCACTCTTAATCTATCTCTACTCTTGGGATTGTCATTCCATCCAGACCTGTAGTTATTACCTTGAGAATCCGCAAAATTTCCGATTGCTGTGCCATGTTCTTTCCAGTCCGGGGCATCTACTACACCAACTTCATTGTTTTGCTTTTGCACTTGACCACTATGATTGATAGATTCCACAGATGCATTTCCGCTACTGTACCTTTTCTCTTCTAGGAAGTTTTCCCCAGCTTTAAAACTGTCAGCAGCCTCTCGTTGGCCATCCAAAGTCTGAAAACTGGTGCTTCTATTGCCTGGAACATCTTCTTGAGCAGTTCTCAACTCCTGAGACTCCTGTTCTCCAATATTGCTCTTTCTATCAGCAGATGTCTCTCCATCTTGTGCTTGTCCTCTGTCTTCACCTTGCCTTGTGCCTTTGTTTCGATTGAGGGCAGATTCATCAGCTGTTCTCTGTATATTTTCTGTTGAATTCTTCTGGTCATCTCTTTTAAAGGATCGATGCAATTCTTTGGTTTCTCCTTCACTTGCTTCTTTTCTTTCAGTAGCCGCGGTGGTGAAGTTTATAGGTGGATTTGATGGATCGTCTGCACTCACTGACCAGACCTTTACAGGTAATTCAAGACGATGTTTTAAATCCTCAACTTCAGCTTCCTTCTGTCGCAATGATTCAGAAAGAAGCTTAACTTGAGAATTATCTGGGTTTGTTTCCATATGTTTTTCTCTAAGCATCTTGATTTCATCCTGCTTTTCCTCGAGAGCCACTTCGATTATTCTTTGTTCATCTTTAAGGGAAGAGATTGTTGATTTCATTTCCAAGATCCTGCTGTTGAGATCCCTTTTCTGCGTACGAAGTGAGTGTATTTTGGATCTCATTTCCTCTGTTTTCCTTTTAGCTTCTTGTGTATGTTCTCTTTCTTTCTGTCCCACAGGTGACAATTAACATTAGCTTGTGTAACATAATGAACTTGCAAATACACAAAAATGTGGTAGAAGATACACAGAGGCGAATCCAAGATTTAAATTCTATGGGTTCAACCATTAAGGTTTTTAGCATTACATCATTATATTTTTAAAGTTATGAGTTCATATTTACTATTTATTGTAATTTTAATAAATTTTTACACATAAATTTATACTCCGCAATAAAAGCACCGGGTTCAGTTGAACCCGGTGCTAGAGGGCTGGATCCGCCCCTAGATACAGATCTTGCAATTTGTGTCTTGATAGTTCATATTGTTTTGTTTCCTAAGGTTCATCTTTGCAATACACATCATACATTTCAGCTGGTATCATACTAATTTTCACTATGATAGTTGCATAAAATTAGAGGACTACAGTTATTAAAAGATGTCCTTGTTTGTGTGTTTTTCCTCTATGAACAGAAAGAATAAAATACTTCCCACGTTTTCTTTAAAAGTTAACTTATCATCTAAGTTTGAATGTGACCTCTCACTTAAGATTTTCGTGGAAAGTTATTTGGCACCATGTTCTTCTTCTCCTCCTTTGGTCTTTCTTAATTCCCCTTGAAGCAATATAAACCTTTCAGTTTAAATCGTTGGTTATTAAACACAGCAAATGGTTTAAAGTCTAAACCAGACGCCAAACAGAAGGCCACTCCTAGTTACTGATTTCTGACTTGATTTTTCGGGTTTCCTGTATTAGTTTCATTTTCTTTGCAGAAAGAAAAACAATAGAGTGATGTAGCATTGTTGCATGGCTTGATATTGGTTCAGGACAATTGTTATTGTCTACACACACACACAACCCCCCCACAACACAACACACACACACTAACAACAGAGTGAGAGAAGTACCTGCAATAGGAATTTAAGGTCGTTGAGTTCACTTTCTTTATCCTTGACAAGGAGGTTGAAGATACGCCTTTCCCTGAGCTTGTGGAGAATCATCACTCCAAAAATTGCAGCCCCAAATGCCAGAAGCACCAGCACTGCATATGCTCTTCCTCTACTCCCATTGTTCTGACTCTGCATGTGCCCCTTCATGTTTCCCCCCTTTGCCATCTCTCTCTCTCTCTCTCTCTCTCTCTCTCTCTCTCTCACACACACACACACTCTCTCTCAAGAAATGTATAGGAATGGAGAAAATAAGAATGGCCTCAATCTCTCTCTCAGCTCTTCCTATATGCCAACAGAGAATGTCACATATTGCATGTTGCTTGTCATCCCAAAGAGGTTTTCAAACTGTTTCCTCTCTCTCTCTCTCTCTCTCTCTCACACACACACACACACAAACACATGGAGGCAGCTTAAGGAAAAGAGCAGCGGAAATAACAAGGCTTTGAAGGATAAATGTGCATGGCACGGGGACTGTACAAAAGGTCACTAATTCTGGCGCACTTTTACCGTTTCTTTTTAATTAAAACATTCTTTTGCCTAATTGCTCTGATTATCCTCTGAATTCTCGTCTTTCATTGCGAGAGAGTTGGCTTTCAACTTTTTAAGTGGCTCAAATAACTGAGGCTGGTAAAAACTGCAACACCGCATTTGTGATCAACCAGAGCTCTGCATTTGTTTTTGCATACTTGCGACAGTGGCTTCTACTTTTCCTTCTTTTTTTTCTTCTCCAGCCGTTTCAGTGTCATCTATGGCAAATTTTGGGAAAAAGGAAAAGGACAAAAGTAAAAGGCTTCAAACCAGTAATTGACCGAAAACATAAGCAACAGATTGCTTGACCAAATAACTAAGGAGTTGCATTTTTTTTTTTAAAATAAAGAAATCTTATTAATCACCTACTAAAACAGTCCCAATTACAAAAGTCCTATACTAACTGTAACTGATTACTCTAATGAATAGTAATCAGTTCATCTATCTATTTCTTTCTGTCTAAATCTATCTATCTGTACAAGTTTTGAATCCATTCCATCTGTCTTTTGCTTCTATTTTCTAAGCTAAGGGTTTTGTATCTACATTCTTCTTTGATTTGCTTGGACATTACTTGAGTTCTTGTTACCCAATCATTCCATACTGCTTCATTCCTGACTATCTATATTGCGTAGACTAGAGTTGCATAGGCTGCATGTAACAGCCCAGCTCGCTATTGATATTGTCTGCTCTGGGCCTAGGCCCTCACGGGTTTAAAACGTGTCACTAGGGTCTAAAACATGTTAACTTATATGCCTAGTATCCCTCTTGTGTTTTGCCGATGTGGAACTCTGTCTAAAGTCTGGAGTGTTACATTCACCCCTTCTTATGGACTCAGCGCCCTCACTGAGGTTTGCCCCACCGCATGGGATTCACGTAGATTCAACACTAAGGTTTGCCCTGCCTAACTGGGATTTGCCTAAAGTCAGTTCAACTCTGACCCATCATCGACAAGATTGACACAAGAGTGGCTCTGATACCATCTGATTGTAGTAAACTCCCAACCCCACTATTGCATAAAAACTCAAAGGACAAATACTCAAAAGTCGATAATTTTTTTCTAATGCTTACTCAAACTTGATATTAAGATGTTAAAGGTAAATCATCATTCACTGTGACATCAGCAAAATATCTAAGGATATTTAGCATTTTTTTTGTAATAAAAAACTTTTATTCAAAATAAAAACTACATTAAGGTTCATTACATAATGAGACTAGTTTGGGTAACATAGTGCCCATACTATCTCTAACAAAGGCAGGAAAGATAGGGGCGAGGG